GGGTGGGGCCACGGTGGGGGCGTGGCCGAAAGGCCGTGGGTAGGGGTGGGGGCCGTGGGTAAGGGTGGGGACCGTGGGTTGGGGGCGGCCTGAGGTTGGCTGGATCCCGGGTGGGTTCCATGGGGGCGTGATCCCAGCAGGGACCTTTGCTGTGCGCCAGGCGGGAGGCGCGGGCTGGGCGTTGGGGGTGCAGGGCGGACTGGGTCTCTACTTAAAGCACTCTGGTGGGATGGTTTACGGGGTGACCAAGAGGCTGCTTGGCTGTGGGTCTGGTGCCTCTGGTTCCTTCCTCCCTAGGCAGATGTGGTGGGCACCTTGAGCTAGGTGGGTTGGAGTTTGACGGCGCCGGGATGGCAGGTGCGTGCATGGACGGAGGTAACAGAAGTCCAGGCCGGCGGCTGGGCGCTGACCTCCGGCCACAGGCCTCTAATTACCCTAGGACAGCCCCTGCCAGGTGACTGGTCTGGGGAGTTGTCGCTGAGGGCGAGCCGGGGAAGGGCGGCAGGACTCTGGCTCGCTCTCTGCTGCCCCTCTCCTGCCCCCTCTCTCTTGCACTTCAATTGCACCTGGCGGGAGGTGTGTGCCTCTCCCCACAACCTCAGTTCCCTTTGTCTCATCTTTTGAGCGCCCCGCCCACCACCTTCTCCTGCGCCAGGTGTCTCTGCTCAGCCACCGCTTCCCGGCCCAGCTGCTGTGGGCTTCCGGAGAGCGGATAAACAAACCCTGAGTGGAGCTGCTCCCATACCCTCAGCCCTGGCCGGGTGGGCTGTGCTTAGGGAGGGCCGTGCAGCAGGTCTCTGGGGGACCTGCAATTATCAGAGGCTGAGGAGGGGGCTCCAGAAGTTGCCACTGGACCTCTGCTCACCAGCATGTATCTGATGAGCATTTACGGAACCCTTGTGAGCTGGGTGCAGCAAGAACAGTGTAAGAGACAGATGAGGTCCGAGCCCGCAGGGAGCTTACCTGCTGTAGACAGCACTCTGTCTCCCTCTGGGGGCATAGTGAGCCAGCAGCCCCTGTATGCCCTTAGCCCTGTACCTTGGAACCTCCCCTGAATGCTCAGGGTTGGCTGAGGCTGCCCTGCAAAGGCTTACACCCCCCTGCTTTTGCAGAGGTGAAGTTGAGATCCCTGGATAGCTTTAGATGGGAGATGGTCTCTGGGGCCCTCTGGGAGAGGGTTTGCTTGCAGCAAGTGGGCATTCTGGCTGGAGGTAGCGGCTGGGAGACTAGAGGCAAACTCTGGAAGGCAGGGCCTTCTGTGCAGCTTTTCACTGATGTCTCCCCGGAACCTAATCAGAACAGATCTGCTTTAATATCTGTCTGCTCATCTAGTACTAGCTAATGTCGGTGGGTGCCTTTTATCCACTGGACACTGAGCTAAATGTTTCCCTTGCGTTATCTCATGGGCTCTTCACAACAACCTTGGGAGGTAGATACTATTTTTCCCCCTCCATTTTATGGATGAGGAAACTGGAGTTCAGGAAGATTAAGAAACTTCCCTCAAAGACGCACACACCTAGAAAGTGCAGGGCTGGTAATGGAACCATGTCTATCTGATCAGAGCCCTGTCCACTCTGCTCTGCTGTCATAGATTAACAATGACACAAAATAGTTATAGGTATGCCTACGTACTGCACGTTACTTTATGCACACTTTTATTTTGAAAGTTTGCAAACCGTTGATATAACGAAAAGAATGTGAATGCACAAGTCCTGGATTCAGGTCTAACACCAGAGATTCTATGCTATGGGCCAAGCTGGTTACTGCCTTGAGCCTGTTTCTACTTCTGGCTTGGTGTGCCTGCTGGGCCGCTTGGCATCTGGGGCCTGAGTGCTTCTGTCTTTGCTGTAGTGTGAGTGAGGAGCTGGCCCTCCCTCCTGCCCCAGACTGGTGACTTCGGGAGAGGATGGCCATGCTATCATGGAATCTTGGTGACCTCGCGGATCACCTAATCCAGTCCACTCAAGTTACAAATGGAAAAACTGAGAAGCAGAGGTCAAGTTACCAGTGAATCCATGGAGGGAATGGGGCTAGAACCCAGGCCCCCCACCCAAGTTCAAGATCTTTCCCCACTCCAGGTTACTACTCCAAATGGGGCTGTGACCCAGAAAGTCATATGCCAGCCATCTCTGCCTGCCCCCTTCTCTGCTGTCACCTAGTTTCCATGGGGATCAGGTAGTTCCTGCTGGCCCATAGGCTGGCCTTGGCCCTCAGGCTTTGTGGGCCCCTACTTGTCCTGGCCCTCCAGGCCTAGGGTGCAGAGATATTTCCTCTGCCTTCCCTCCCTCTCCCTCTGTGCCGTCCCTTGGGCAGGTCTCTGTGCCTGACCTGGGCTCTGTGTGTGTGTGTGTGAACATGAGCTCACGGCTTTGTGCATGGGCAGAGGAGAGAGGCAGAAGGGAGGAATGCGGATTCCACCTCTTGTTTCTGTCCAGGCCTTTCTCAGGGTCTCTGCCTGGGCCAGCCACAGCAGAGTGGGTCCCTGGGCTTCAGCCCCGGGGAGGTGGGTGGCTGGGGAGGAGGCGGGACCTTTTGCTGGCAGGCGCCGCTGCGGACAGCTGTGCTGTATCGGTGCCTCTAGGCTAGCTCTGTGGAGTGTCAGGGCCTGGAGCCAGACAGCCCCATTATTTAGCTGCTGGGACTGCTGGGAGGTTGGGAGGCCGGACTTGGGGGGTGTGGACTGGACATGGGGTGCCAAGGGCTCACTGGCGCTGTGTTCCTGCCCCTTCATGTCAGGCCGGGATTAAGGTGGAATTGGGAGCCGGGCCCCTGCAGCATGGGGCCGGCAGGTGGTGGCATCCCTGTGGGGCTCTGGGCGTTTCCTTGGTGGCCAGTGATGCCGGGCACACCTGCCCTCCCACATTGCACTGGAGTAGGCCGTGGGCCCCTTCGAGCACGGCTCCTCCTCATGTGCTCCTCTCCTCTGCCAGGCCTCATGGAGGTCCCCTGCTCTCTGTCCCTTGTGTTCTCTCTGCTCTTTGTTCGCATCTCTCTGCCCCGCCCCCCGCCACACTCAGCGTCTGCCTGTGCCCGTGGTCTCTGTCCCTCTCTCTCTCCCCACGGCCTTTACCGACTTCTCCCTGCAGCTGTGTCTCTTCTTCCCTCCCTCCAGCACCCCTGAGGTTTCCTCTTTGCCACTCTCCCTTTGCCCTGGTGTCTTCCGCCTCTCTGGGCTCCATCTGGAAGTCTCTGTCTGGCTCCCTGTACCTCTGCCTGTCCTGGCCTGGTCTCCATGTCCCTGTGTCCTCGGGAGCCTGTGCGTGGGTGGGGATGGGGGTGTCTCTAGAGAAGAGTCTGTCTGCTTCTCCATTCCAGTTGCAGGCTGGTTGTCATGGTAACAGGGTCAGAGGGCCCCCCACTGCAACAGCTGAGCTGTGGGCTGGGGGAGGGTTGGAGAGGGCCAGCATGCTCCCCAGCGCCCTCAGAGCCCATGGGGAGCCAGAGACCCAGAGGTGGCCCCACACCCACTGGTCTGTGGTCCCCAGACTCAGACTTCAGCTTCCCAGGTGCTTGTGCAGGTACTCTTGGCACCGGTGCCATTCCTCTGGGTCTCCTGTGACCTTCCACACACTCCGGGCCATTTCCCTATCTCTTCCCTGGTCCCTGAAATCAGACTCCTCACTGTGAGGCTCCCACACCACGCCCTTCTGCATTGTGGTCTAGAGCTCTGACTCTCACTCCCCTCCGTCCCCACCAGGCAGGGACCTGATTGTCAGGTCCCCAGACCGCCACCAGTCTTGGTTGCTGGTGAAGGGGTATGTGGAGGCCGGCAGGCAGGTCAGGTGGAGACTGGCGCCTGGGTATATTCTGCACCCTTAAGAGGGAGCCGACCGGGGTGACCCTCAGAGGAACGCGGTTAGACACAGGTAGCACTTTTCTTGGACAGGAGAGTGGGGAAGCCATTAGGGGTCTCCCTCCACCTTGGGCCTTTTGGTCAGGGCCTGGGCAGCTTGGAGTCAGGTGGGGGAGAGCACCTGCTCCATGGTGGCCAGGAGTGGGGCGGGGCTGCCTCAGGGCCCAGCTGCTTTCCCTCTGCAGCTCCAGGGGCTCCCTGGGTGGGGGGGTCATTCCTGAGCGGGAGCAGGGTGCCCTGTTCTGCTTGGGGCTTCCTGTCCCAGCTCCACCCTGGGGGCGAGGCAGGCCTGCCATGACTGAGGGTGTGTGGGCCACTCTTGGTCTCCTCTGGGGTCTGGAGAGTGTCGGGAGGGTGGCTCCTCCATGTTGTGTCTGCTGTAGCCCCCGAGAGGAGCTATGTAAATATTTGTGCAGAGCCGTCTGGGATGGGAGCAGAGTTTGATGGTGGCCTTGGGCTCTGGGGAGGGGGGCTGTGGGCAGCAGGGGGGACCAACATAGGGGTTGGGGTGTGAGATGGGAGAGACTCTGCCTCTTTTCTGCCCAGAGGTGGCTTCCAGGGTGGCAGGACTTGAAAGGTTCCAAGAAAGTTCTTTCAAAATTAAATATCTTCCCCGAGGGGGCCTGAAATGCCTCTGTTAGGGAACCCCTTGCTTGGAAGGAGAACGAACCTTTTTCTTTAAAAAGACATTCTCTGTCATCACTCCTCCCCTGTAAGCAGGGAGGGACGTGGAAATAGCTAGCCTTCAGTGAAGGAGTTTAACAGAAACTTTCCTCCCTGCTGTGGGGTCAGGGCCAAAGAGGGGGCACAGAAGGCCACCTGGGGCCAGTGATGAGTATGGGGGGGCTCTGGATGAACCGCGGTCCCCCTAAAGTCCCTTCCTGTCCTTAGTCCAGGGGCCCATGTGAACTGTGGGTGGCCTCAAGTGGACTCCTTTCCATTCCTACCAAGTGTCCAGGGACTAGAAGCACCTTGAGGGCAGGGCGGTATCTTCTCCTTGACCCACCATCGCCCTCGCCCACAGTTGTGGTTGAGACTGCCATGTCTGACTCCCCCACTAGATTGTAAGCTCTGTGAGGGCAGAGAGTGGCCTGCTTTGTTCTTTGTTGTGTCTGTGTGTGTACTGCAGAGTGGGAGCTCAGTTCATGCTTGCTGAATGAATGAATGAATGAATGAAGAGGGCAGTGTGCTGTGTTGCAGAAACCCTATCCTGGGAGTCAGAGTCTTGGGAGCAATTTCTGGTTTAGTTACAGACTTGCTGTGTGGCCTTGGACAAATCACTTCCCATCTGTGGGCCTTGGTTTCTCCCTCTCTGAAAAGCCTTAGAATAACAGAATGCCAGGGCTGGGAGGGGTCTTAGTGGATGAGGAGGCTGTCAGGGCCAGAGGAAGGTGGGTCAGGAAGAGGTGGACTGAGGTGGCCACTTAGAGAGTTTGGAGAACTCCAGCCCAGCTGAGTGTGGGGGATGTTGTGGGCTGCAGGGAAGGCACTGGGGATTCTCACCCTCCCCGCCTCAGGGATGGACCAAGGAGGCCCGGACCAGGGAGCTAAGCTGGGGGAGGGGACGATGGCGCATGACCAGCTCTCACAGGCTCCCTCACTGTTGAGACTGCACTTGTAGTTTGCAAGCTGGGACACATGCTTTGTGGCAGGTGGTCCTTAGACTGGGGAGGCCTCCTCTCCATCATTTTACGGGAGTGAAATTCTCACTTGGAAAGGCTAAGGGGACTTCCCCAGCTGGCAGGTGCTTGGGTGAGAATTCCTATCCAGTGTTTCTCTTTCCACTCGAGTCCTGCCCGGCATGGAACACCACCGCACAGGCTGACTTGCCTCAGAGGGCCATTTTTCGGCATGATGGTCTCAAAGCCCCAGGAAATTTGGGTTTTAGCTTGGGCTCCCAGAGCTGCAATTCCTCATTCGCTAAGTGGGATCATAACACCTGTCCTCTTGGGTACCGCTGGGAGAGGTTCAGCAAATAAGAGAATAGAGGCAGGGCAGTATCAAGTGCCAAGGCTCTTGGCATCCTACTTGCCATTAGGCAGGGCATCACCCACATGGCCACAGGTCCTGGCCAACCAAGGAAGTGAGCCGACTCAGGGCCGCAGCATCCCTGTTCCCTACAGCGCTCACTCCTTGCCCTGCACCCAGCTTCTGCATGCGTGTGTGTGTGTGTGTGTGTGTGTGTGTGTGTGTGTGTGTGTGTCTCCCCCAACCCCAGGCTTTTGCTGGCCCCAGCTCCTGCCTCCTCCCTAAATCGTGGAAACCAAGATATTCGTGTTACTGGTTTTTTCTTTCTCTTTCATTGGTTTTTCTCCTTTTTCTTTTTTCTCACTCCCCATCCGTTAGTTCCCCTTCCCTTAGGCAACCATTCAAATGTACTTCCTGTGAATGTGTTGCTTGCATATGTTCTTGCAAAATGTGTGTTTTGTCTGGCTGCATGTAGGTTTAATTTATGTAAATGATATGTGCTATATATTGTATTCTGGTGTTCACTTTTGTTACATGGGAGTACGCCTTTAAGTCCAGCCAGGTTGTTCGTTGACGCTGAGTCCGTAGCGTCATATTCTGTGGGGTGCTCCCACCTCATTTCACCTGTCTGCTCTCCTGGAGAGGGCCCTCCACATTGTCTCTATAAATGATGATGCAGTGAACATCCTCGTCCATGGCCCCTTTTGGACTCGTGTAGGGATGTTTCGGGGATTCATCCCCAGGGGTGGCGTTGCTGGGTCACAGGGTACATGGGCATGCAATTCAACCATGTACTGTCCAGCTGTAACCAGCAGGGCTGTACCTATCACCACACTCCCACGCAGAGCAAGGGATTTCTATTCCCCCGCGTCTCTGCCACACCTGGCATCATCGGCTGTTCTAATTTTTGCCAGTGCAGTAGGTGAGAGTGATACCTGGCTGCTTTAATTTGCATTTCTTTGATTTCATGCGAGTCGGAGCATCTTGTTGGTAGCCGTTCAGGTTTCTCTCCCGCGAATTACCTGCTCATATCCTCTGCTCACTTTTCTATGACGCTGCTGCCTTTTGTTCTTGTTGCTTTGCCAGAGTTGCTTATGTAGTCTCGAAATACAGATGTATGCAGTTAAATATCCAGCACGTATTCTGGATATTATTTCCTGCTGAATCAAGATATTGCACATATCTGCTCCCGTTCAGTCATCTGTTAAATTTATCCAACAAAGATACTTCCTTTTGATACAAAATCATGGATTTTGAGCTTTGTTTGTGCTTCTGAAGTTTTGTTTAAGAAATTCCTCACCACTCAAGGTTGCAAAGGTCTATGTTTTCTTCTATTAACTTAATTGTTTTACCTTTATCAGTTGGGTCTTTGAGCCATCCTGCCTTCCGCTGTCTGTGGTGCCAAACAGGGACCAAGTTGTATTTTTTCCATATACTGAGCCAATTTTCCCAACACATCTAGTAAACAGCCTGTTCTTTTCCATTGATTTATGGGGCTACCTTTATTACCGGTTAATTTCCCATATATCCATCGATCTGTCTTTGAACTCTTTGTTTTGTTCCAAATATTTATTTGTCTGTTCTTGCATCAAAACCACATTAAAAATACGGCATTTAGTATGTCTCAGTATCTGGAAAGGCAAAGCTTCCCTCTCTGTTCATCTTTTGAAGGTTGACACACATATTGTGGACCTCTCTTCTTCGTAAATTTCAGAGACAGTTTATCAAGTTCCTGGGAAGAAAAACCCCACTAGGATCTTAACTGAAATTAGGTTGGTTTGGTAGGTTAATCTGGGGAGAATTGACATCTTTGTAATATTTGTCCCATCCAAGAGACTGGAGTGGCTTTCCATTTATCAGATCATTTCTGCATCTTTTATTAGTTTAAGGTTTTGTTTTGTTTTTCCCCATAGAGGCCCTGTGCATTCTTGGTCACTTCCTAAATATTTTATAGTTTTTGTTGCTATTAGGAAAGAAATCTTATTTTCCACTACCGATTCTAATAGCTTTATGCTGGTGGAGAGAAATGCTGTGTGTTTTGTGGGCCGATCTTGTACTTGGCAGCCTTGCTGGGTGAACTCTCTTATCAGTTAGTGCTAATGGTTTATCTGTTGATTTTATTGGTTCTCTAGGGAGATGATCCTATCATTTGCGAATAATGCTGGTTTCCTCTTTATGCCTGGGTCACTGCCGTATGTGTTGATGCTGGAACGTTCCATCTGCCTTTTCAGCAGGCTCTCACATGTACTTGTGTTTATTTGCTGGAGACCCTCCAGTGTCCTGTAAGGTGGGTGAGTCAGGGAGGGACTGCAAGTCTCGGTTTAATGACCAAGAAGCTGTGGCCGACTGGGTGACTGACGGGACAGGGCTCTCTCAAAGCGTCCCTAGGCTCTCTGGGATATGCTGGGAGCCAAGGTGGGAGCGCCGTTTGAGAAGCTCGCTGAGCCCTGGAGGAGGGCAGGGACCCCCGTTGTCTCCTGGTGGACCACGGCTCTTTGTATCCTTGCCACCCGTGGCTGGGTGGTCAGCTTCCATGTTCTATGCTTTTGACTGGATTTCACAGTGCTTCAGCAAAAGACATCACCTAATTCCCATGGGGGTTCTCACTGCTGAGGGTGGGTTTGAAATGGGCAAATCCTCTTGTGGAAGGACAGTCAGTGCCCCTGGATCTGAAAGGGAGCTTAGAGAGTGGGGAGATGGCCCTGGCCACACCTGCCGTCAGCGCAGGTCACTGCCCTGGAGTCCACAGTCAGTCCCTGGACACCTGCTTACCCAGTACCTCCCTCGAGGCCAGCCCCACCCTGCCCTCAGGGCTCTGGGGGGAGGGAGGAAGCTCACCCCAGAAGCCATGCACAATTACCCCCTCTACGAGGGATCTAGTTTGAGAAGAGTTCTCAATGAGAAACGTCCCTGTGGGCCAGGTGGAGCAGTCAAGGAGCTCTTTGTAGAGGGGGCCTTCGGGGCCTAGAGGGTTGGGAGGAGCTAGAGAGAAGCCGGATGGGGCCGTGGGGAGTGGGAGGGTCTGGTGAAGCTGGGGTGTGCTGGAGGGGGCGCCCGGACCAGCCTGCTGGCGACTCGGCCAGTCTGTGTGTCCGGGGATGGGAGGCCCAGCTGGGAGAGCAGGCTGAAGGATGTGTGGGTCGGGGACAGGGGATTCTGAAGGATTCTGCAGAGGGACAGGCTCCAGGAAGCAGGAGGAGGGAGGTTAAGTGTGGAGGCCTCAGGGAGGTGGGGGACGGGATGGAGCTGTGAAGAGAAGCTTTCCCTGAATAAACATGGCCCGGTTTCACCTTCCTTGGCTTCTGTGGAGCGGAGCAGGGGTGTGCTTCCCAGTTTATAGACTATGAGGCTGCATCCTCAGAGGTTGAGTGGGGCTGAGCCCCAGAGATTTTCTAGAAAGAGCTCTTCTCCCGAAGACGTCACAGTGGCTTCGGGGAAAGACAGCACAGACAGGCCACCTGCAGGGGTGTGGGTGTTAGTCTGGATGACTGCACAGGCCCTCTGTATGGCCCTATGGGTCCCTGTGAAGGTGTGAGGCTGGAGGGGCGGGGGGAGGGTCTGTCTGGAGATGCTTCCTCTGTGTGAGCTGGGGTCTGGATCGTGGCTCCCCATTCCTGTCCTGCAGTGAGTATCCACGGGCGAGTCTGTCCCACTCAGCTCCTGGAGTCAGGTTAGGATCGCCCCCACCCCATCTGTTTCACACACACACACACACACACACGCACACGCACACACACACACACACACACTTAGGCACACCCATTCACTGGATGGCCTCTCAGGCGTCCCCGCTCCATCCCTTGGGCCTGCAGTGTCCCTGGCCCTCTCTGGGCCCCTGTTGCCCATGAGAGCGGTGTTAGTGACACGGTGGCCCCCGGCCAGGAGCAGCTCCTGCTGCATCTTCCTGTCGCCGCCACCAGGCTAAATATAACCTGACACTGCACAGCCCCGGGCCGCCGCCGGAGACAGCCTCTGCCTGGGGGCGGACAGGCCAACTGGAGCCCCAGCCTCCTGCCCTCAGCGTGACTTTGGGCCCAGCTCCTCCTGCTCCAGCAAGGCAGGAAGGCGACTAGGGTGAGGATGGCTGCCTCCCCGAGGTCACCTTCCCTGCAAGGACCCGGCACCCTGCCTTGTTACAGCTCTGGATGCTTCCACAAGGCCATCTGTCATCTCATCTGGCACCTGGGGCAGGAATCACTTGTCCCTGCAGTACCCATAGGGAGTCTGAAGCTCAGAGAGGTGGGTGACCTGCCCATAGTCACACAGCAGTTGCCTGGGTCTCTTGAGGGTCAGGGCAGATCAGCTCAGCTCAGTCCCCAGGACCCCTCTCTCTGCCATCTCATTCTAGACTCCGAGCCAGGAAACCTTGTCTCAGGGAGGGTGGGCACCCCAGATACTTCACATGCATGTGCTCGGTGAGTGTTCGAGGGGCTGAAGAGCCGCCTTCAAAGGAGCTGTGATGACACCTAGTTTGCAGACGAGCGCGCCTGGAGACTCTGCCTGGGGAGCTTGTCCAAGGACTCTCAGGCCACCTGCAGGCCTCCCCTTCCCCCGCTGCCTGGTGCTGCCCTCAGAGATAAGGCCTCCTTGCAAAAGCCGAGGGCAGCTCTTGCCTGGGGCACAGCCAGGGGTGCCCAGAGTTGGGAAAGTGGGTTTGGGGCTGTCGGTGGGGCCTCTGGGTGGCTCGGAA